TAAATGCCAAAGAGTAGACAAATAATAAAGAAAATTTGATATATATATATAGAAAAATACATACATACATTTGATGGGATATTATCCAGCCATTAAAATGGGAAAACCTAGCACTGAAACATGGATGAAACTTGAGATATCTCAAGTGAATTAAAGCAGTGCCCAGAAACAAAAATAATTTATTTTTAAATACTAGCTATTTCACTAGCATATATATGAGCTATCTCAGTAGCCAAAAGGAAGGAAATGGAGAGCAGATGGTGAGTGTCAGAGCTGGGGGCAGGGAGGTGAAGCTGTTCGATGGGGTATAGAGTTTCAGTATTGCAGGATGAAAGAGTTCTTGCACATAGTGGCACAACAATGCAAAATGTGAACACTGAAAAATTAATTGCTCGCAAATGGTCAACACGGTAAAGAAGTGGAGGGAGAGGGGTAGGAGAAGAAGAAGATAATGTGAAGCTAATTCAGGACACTACTGCTTAAGTTTACTCAGTACTAGAAAGACTAGACAAGGAACCTGCTCTTTAGAGACCTAGACAAAAGTTGGTCCTTGAGAAGCAAGGAACTCTTCAGTTCTGACAAATGGCTGAAACCAATAGTGGTTAACACCAGCACTTTCTCATATGTCTTCTTCACCCATGTACTCATCCATCTATTCCCAACCAACCATTATCCATTCTCCTTGGCTTCTGTCAATGGTGTATCCTGATTTCACTCAACCAGACATGTTCTTCTCTATTACCCCTCTTCCAACACTTGGAATATATAGAGTGAAATTATGTCTCCATAGAGCCAGTATAAGGAGCCAGGGCCTCACTTTATTTACCATCATCAACCATACATTGAGGCAAAAGTCATACAATGACTCTTAAGTAGACATTGCCCCAGGTAGGAGCAATCAAACCCAAAACTTTGAGCACTAAATGAGGGATACCAAAATGCTTACTTTCTAAAGCTCTCCTAATTTGAAAGAGCACAGCAACCAAGACTTATCTACAAGCTTCTTATCTCCTATGTACTGCAATCCAATAAAAGTGGGGGGTGTGGGCAGGGGGTGGGCTTCATATCTGGGAATCTCTTGTACTTCTCAGGGATCCTGCCTAGAGGAGAGGTTGAAGGAAAGTCATCCCCTCTCTGAAGGTCTCCAAGTACTGGTGCTTGATGGAAACCAGATGCACTTGTCAACTTCTGCACAGCCTCATTATTCCCAAGAAGAATCCATCATGATTCTGCTGCAGCTTGTTGTTTTAATGACTTTTTAATTATCTTCCCCTTTCCTCCTCCTTAGTTGCTAACTTGTCAATTTAAAGAATTTCTTATTTAAAAGGGTGCTACTTTTGATGATGACAACCACTTCAGTTAAAATTCCATTAAGTACTTCACTTAGGAAGCCTATTTAAATGAGCTGAACTACAAAGTATATAGAAGCAGCAAGAAGGTTGAAAAATAGAGTCTCTACTTCCATCTAAGTGACCACTCTTAAAACTGGGATACTAATTTACTGCCCAGCTTTAATTACGTTATCAGTAAATAAATCAGTTACAATATAGCACATGCATGCAAACACACACACAGAGAAAAAACAAATAAAGCTACTTGCTAATTTCACTGTCAAACTTTATTTTGATCACAGAAATGCTGAATTATAAAAACAGTGAGATTCACCTCCTCCAACCCCTACTTTGTACCAAAATGAGGAAGGAAAGGAGCAAAGGGACTCAACTAATCTACTTATTTAACCAAAAAAATTACCGCTTGGACTTTTATCTATCACTAGTGGGAATGTTGACTGGTTCAATAATTTTGGAAAACAATGTGGACACTCCTCAAAACACTAAGAAATTAGTTTCTATGTGACTCAGCAATTCCTTTTCTTGGCATTTACCCCAAAGGCCCAAAATCTCTATTCAGGAAAGACATTTGTGCTCCTATGCTCATTGCGGCACTCTTTACAATAGCCAAAATCTGAAAACAGGCCAAGTGTCCAAGAACAGATGAGTGGATAAAGAAACTATGGTATGTTTACATAGTGGAATACTACTTAGCTGTAAGAAAAGATAATATCTTACAATTTTCTGCTAATGTAGGGTATCAAACTGATTGAAGCCATCCTGAAGGAGAGGGTCAGATACAGAATGACATCTCTCATAAGTGGAATATAAAGAAGCATAGTAAGGAAATAAAAAAGGGCCAAAAGTAACAGAACCTAAGAATTGGTCTACAGAACTGAGCCTACTATGGTGGTGAGGTCAGGGGAAAGGGGAGGTTAACTGACCAAGCAAGTGGAAACTTAAACAAATGGGGCTACATTAAACTAAGAAGCTTCTGCACCTCAAAAGAAACAGTGACCAAAATACAGAGAAACCCCATGGAATGGGAAAGAATGTTTACCCAATAACCATCTGATAAGGGGTTAATATTCAGGACATACAAGATACTAGTAGAACTGCACAAGAAAAAAATACTCCAATCCCATCAAAAAATGGGGAGAAGAAATGAACAGAAGCTTCCTCAAAAAAGAAATACAAATGGCCAAAAGGTACAAGAAAAAATGCTCTACATCGCTAATTAGCAGGAAGATGCAAATCAAAACAACAATGAGATATCATCTCACACCACAGAGACTAGCACACATCAAAAAGAACAAGAACAACCAGTGCTGGAATGGGTATGGGGAGAAAGAGACTCTCTTTCATTGTTGGTGGGGAATGCCACTGGTCCAAGCTTTTTGTAAAACAATATGGGCATTCCTTAAAAAACTAGAAATTGAGCTTCCATATGACCCCACAATACCACCTCTGGGACTATATCCTGAGGGTTCAAAAAAGCACAGTAGAAGTGACATCTTCCCCTGTATGTTCATTGCAGTACTGTTCACGATAGCCAGAATTTAGAAACAACCTGAGTTCCCAAGAACAGAAACTTTGGTACATCTACACAATGGAATACTATGCAGCTGTTAGGAAAGATGAAGTCATGAAGTTTGCTTATAAGTGATATCATGGAGAGTATCATGTTAAGTGAAATGAGTCAGAAACAGATAGACATAGAATGACTGCACTCATTTGTGGAATAAAAAAATATCATAACCTGAGACTAACACCTTAGAACAGTAGAGACAGGGCCAGGAAGATTGCTCTAGGTTTGGAAGCCTGTCTTATGAGCTGGGGGAGAAGGCAGCTGGGATAAGAAGGGATCACTAAGTCAACGATGGTTGGAAGAATCATTCAGGATGGGAGATGAGTGCTGAAAGTAGATAAAGGAGCAAACATGATGGCCTCTCTCTCATTATCTGTATTGCAAACCATAAATGCCCACAAATAGAGACAGAGTAAGAGGAAAACTGTCTGCCATAGAAGCTAGGGGAGGGATGAGACGGGCGGGGGGGGGCATCTCTAGGGACACCAGGATCATTGGTGGTGGAAAATATATACTGGTGGAGGGAATGGTGTTTGGTCATTGTATGACTGAAACACAATCATGAAAGCTTCATAAGTGTAGCTCACAGTAATTCAAAAAAAATAAAGGAAAGGAAGGACGGAAGGAAGGAAGGAAGGAAGGAAGGAAGGAAGGAAGGAAGGAAGGAAGGAAGGAAGGAAGGAAGGAGGGAAGGAGAGGTTTCAGGGGAGGACCCTGAGACACTGGCAGAGGGAAGCAGACACTGTGGTGGGGGTGTGGGGTTGGAACAGTGTGTGCATGGAACCTGTTATGCACAGTATTGTAAATCGTGGTCAGCAAAAATTGTTTTAAAGGAAAAAAACAGAAACTCCTTTTCAGCCACTGACACTGGGAGTTCAGAGGTGAGAAAGATAAGGTGGTCAATCTCCTGAAGTTGATACGGGGACAGCCCCTTCAAGAGCAGTGAAGAATGGGTCCTAAAGCCCTGTGGCAGAAGCAGCCACATGTATCTGAGACTCCATAAAATTTCCCTGTGCCTGAAGTCTCATCAGTCACACAGCAAGGCTGTAACCGGGGCTGATGAGGGACATGGGACCCAAGTCTCAGAAGACTGACCCTAAATTGACGGAGGAAAAATGTTCTTTATTCTAATTGCAATGGGAAATAATTAGAGAATTTTATCAGGAAACCAGATGAGCAAACTCACATTAAAAACAAAACATCTTGTCTGTGTCATGGACAATGAATACTCATTGAAATAGATGTCTCTGAGAGTCGGAGAGAGCCACACCGCCACCGGCATGGCACATGGTCCTCTGAAGAAGCACCTGCCCGATTCCCTCCCCTCCACAAAAAGAAAGAGAGAAAGAAAGAAACAAAGAGAGAAAGAGAGAAAGACAAAGAAAGAGAGAAAGAAAGAAAGAGAGAAAGAAAGAAAGAAAGAAAGAAAGAAAGAAAGAAAGAAAGAAAGAAAGAAAGGTCTCTTATTTTTTCTCTTGACAGCACTTTAGTAATATCGAGTGTTGCCTTGGTGACTAAACTGAAATCATTTTAATGCTCCCAGGATAGGTCATCCTCAGCGCAGGAAGCTGGAGCAATCTTGCTCTTTAAGCATACACTGAAGGACAAGGCTTTGCTCATGGAAGGAGGATGCCTCCAGCCAAATGGCCCAAATCAAATGATACAAAGAGTCTTCCAGGGCCAGACTCACAGTGCAGCAGGTAAGGCATTTGCCTTGCACACAGTCAAGTCAGGTTTCATCCCCGCCAACCCATATGGTCCCCTGAGCATGGCCAGGAGTGATTTCTGAGTGCAGAGCCAGGAGTAACCCCTGAGCATTGCTGGTGTGGCCCAAATCCCACCCCTCAAAAAACATCTTCCAGCAATGCCATTTAGATAACCCTATTCTACAGAGGCAGGCACCTGCAGATAATTGGACTCTTATTATGGAAGCCTTCAGGATGGCAGGAATTTCTTTTCTTTCAACTAGCCATTTACTATCTTACAGAGGTGGAAAAGTTAGGAAGAACAGCTCAGAATACCAGAAGAATAATGGGAAAGCAGATAAGCGGCAAGGGGAGGGTGTGGTGACAGCATAATACCTCTCTGAATGCTTCGTTTCAGCTTGTTACACAGGTCCACACGGGGGTTATCCACTTGCTCTTCCACTGACCCTGGGCTTTGTTCTGGGGAAGACGGGCCTCGGGGAAGGTCTGAGGGTACTTTGCCCGTGTGCGGCGGTGGGGAAGCAGCAGGGCTGTGGGCTGTGGTGGGGCTGCTGGATGCGGAGGAGGAGGTCGGTTCCAAGGCTCCTATCCGTGAGTTCAAGGGAGACGTCAGGGACAGCTTTCGGGCCCTCACGGGGGAGGATGTCCGAGACACCGCCATCGACGGTGGGGATGAGGATTTGCGACACAGATGAGGGGATTTTCCATCCACCAAATGCTCACCCCTGTTGTTCTGGCTGGTAGCAAAGAACAATTCCAGCGACCTAAGATAAGAGCAGAAGCTATTATTACCAGATGGCAGCCAAGGGGACAGGGCTCCCTGACACCTTTCAGGGGCATGTGCCCTGCATCCATAGCTGGATTTGCCTACATTTACATGCCATTCATAAACCACACACTCACCAAAGGAGCACAGACACATAGGAAGCCTTGTCTAATCCTTGCTAAAAAAAAACTGCTCAAAAGGCCAACAGCAGGGGCTGCAGCAATAGCACAGTAGGTAGGGCATTTGCCTTGCACATGGCCGACCCAGGCTTCATTCCCAGCATTCCATATGGTCCCCTGAGGACCGCCAGGACTAATTCCAGAGTGAAAAGTCAAGAGTCAATCTGTGCATCGCTGGTGTGACCAAAAAGCAAAAAACAAAAAAAACAAAAACAAAAACAAAAAAACCAGCAGGGGTCAGAAAGATGCTCCAGGAGTTACCAGTGCTTGCAGCAGACCTTGCTTCAAACCCTGGCACTGCCAGAAGTAGCCTGTGAGCACTGCTGGGTGTGGACCAAAGCCCCAAAACCAAATCAACCAACCAACAAAAAAGTCTGGTAGAAACGCAACCTCTAGACTCATTAAATCAGTCTGTGATTTATCAAGAGGACAAGAGTCCCATGGTGATTCTTATTCATATTAAAGTTAGAAAAACAGGCCAGAGAAATAGTCCAGAAGTTAAGGCACTTGTTTTGCACATGGCTGAGCAGGGTTCAACCTCTGCCACTACATATGGTCACCCAACATTATCAGGAGTGGTCCCAGCATAGAGCCAGAAGATGCTCTGAGCATCACTGAGTGTGCCCCCCCGCCGCAAAAAAAAAGAGAGAGAAGGAGTAAGGAGGGAGGAAGGGAAGGGGAGGGAGAGGAGTAGAGAGAGGGGGAGGGCAGGACAGGGAAGGGACAGGAAGGGAAGGGAAGGGAAAAAGAAATGCAACCTCAGACTTTCGTCCAGATCTACTAAATCAGAAACCCCTGGTGATTCTTACACATATTAAAGTGAGAAAGGTACAAAAATTTAAAAAGAAAAAAAAAACCTAATAAAATAGAAACTCTTACTAAACAATCAAATTAGCTTCTAAATAAACCCAGAGAAAGCGAAGACCATTATAAGACTTGGGGGCTCTCAACTGCTTCCCTGCCTCTGCTTACCCCCTCTCCGTTGGTTGGTTCAAGGGCAAGTCACAGCCTAGTGGAAAGCCCCAGAGAGGGGCTGCCCAGACACAGAGTCCTAGAGACAAGGAGGGTAAATGTCTCTATTGGCCAGTCCCAGACCTACCTAACAGGGATGGAGGTAAAAGGCCTCTTGTAGATGTCAGAGAGCTTCGCCAGCACCACGGCGGCTGTGGTGAAAATGCGGTAAGTGTGCAGGAAGGTGTTGAGGAAATCGATGCTCAGAAAACGCAGGTCCGTCAGCCGTTCCAAAAGGCGCTCGACACTAGCGTACCGGATCTGCGGCACTTTGCAGGAGTTGAGCGTTTTACTGAAGCAGATGTCGATGTCGTCCTTATGAAGGCGAGCATCTGACCTACACACAAAGTGGGGGCATGAGAACACAACTGGGTCCCATTTGTTTTCAGCCCCCGACTGAGTAATGTGGTGATGTGCAAACATGCTCAGGGGGGCATTGCCCAGACACTTGATAAAAGAGGTTGTTACGACAGCCCATCCTTGCCTGGCTGTACATGGAATGTCACAGAGACCTCTTTATTGAACCCCAAACACATCCTGATGGAGGAAGGTCAGAAGAGATGGGAGAGAGGGGAACAAAAACTCATTTTGCTCTGTGCATTCCCTCTGTAGGGGAAGAAAATAATTTTCATTCTTCCCTTATGAACTCATGACTGAGTCCCAGTGATAAGTGGCAGGTTGACAAGGAACAGATGGAAGATGAACAAATTTACCTGGCGTATATGAGGGATACCTAAGGAAGATACCAAGCATTCCCAGGATGTTTTAGGATTCAGAATTTAAATAGTTTTCATGGACAAAACAGAAAGTATTATAGGCCTCTTTAGAGAATGTAAATAATTTCTTGTGTGTAGAGTGGGGGTAGGGGACCCAGTGGTGCTCAGGAGACCTGGGGACCTTCTAGCAATTCTCAGCCAACCAGGGTAGTGGTTTAGAGCAAGGACCTAATGATGCAGTGTTGCTTGGCCCCTGCGGTGGTGGGGATTACCGGAACCACCACAGCAGTGCTGGGGGCCTCCAGCTCTGCAACTTGAAACACTTGAGGAACCATGTGATGCCAGGGATAGAAACTAGGTCAGGCATATACAAGGCACATGCCCTAATTGCTGTGCTATCTTCCAGCCTTGGAAGTTAATAATTTCTAAGAAAGATGAATGGGTCCTTAGACAGATGGGAGGGATGACAGCTAGTGACAGCTTGTCTGGGTAGCGTGTCAATTTCTAGTCTCTACTCCTGTGATACGTACCAATCTTCTCCGGTTGATGAGACTCCGGGGGAAGAGATTTATGACAAACAAGATCTGTCTTTAGACAGACAATAGGTTGAAAGTCCTTTAAGGAGGCTGAAGCAGCAGAGGGTATAACAATCCAGTGCTCATTCCCAGTGTTCTGGGGCCATCGGAGCTACAGTTGGCAGTACTCGTGTGAGGAGGGACAGTACATAAAGTAACAGAGATAGAACTCAGGGTCTCAGGCATGAAGAGACCCCAATTCCCTACCCAGCCCTAAATCTGCTACTTTTCAGATGCCAGTAGCTCTGGATAAATATGTTCAAGGGCATATTGGGAGTGGCTGCTACAAAAATTCTGCTACTTTTCACTGCTTTCTCTTGTTCATCCACATTTTATTAGGAAAATGAAGTCAAAAGGCCAATTTGGGAGGGGAATCGCTTATGTCCTCAAACCAGAATATCAGAACTATGACTAAAAGTTAAAAGTGGCTGGCCAGAGGGTTAGCACAGACAGTAGCGTTCTTTTCTTGCAGGCAGCCAACCTGAGTTTGGTTGGCACTACATATGATTACCTGAGCATCGCCAAAAATGATCCTTGAGCACAAATTCAGAAGTTAGCCCAGGACACAGTTAGATATGGTCCAAACCTATCTAACTCCAAAACGCTTAATGGGTGGAATGGAAAGATAGCTTGACATGTATTGAGCACATGCTTTGCATGTGGGAGACTGAATTTCAATCTCTGATACCACATGTGATTCTCAATCCAGCAGCACGCTCTGAGATATGAGCTTGGGAGCAGTCCCTGAACACTGTTGGGTATGCCTCAAACAAAAAAAAAAAATTAACAGATGGTGTCCTCCCTATAGAGGGAATGGGAGTGAGAAACAAATATCACCGTTTTATCTATGATCATTTTTTCTCACTATTAATCTTGTGGGTTTTTTTTAAAAGCAAATAGTTTTATAGGAAAACAAGTGAGAAGAAAGGAGGAAGGGGAAATGAGTGAAGGCAGAAGAGAAAAGAACTAAAAATAAAAGGACAATTTTGCATCCCAAGCAAAATTGGGATGGGGCAACTCCAGAATGGAGTGTGCGATAAAGGGAAGAGGTACTGCCACAGTGGATGGGTGTGGGAATGTGCCTCACTTCTAATTTTGTACATTTGTACCTTCCCCTTTTTTCTTAATTAAACTAATATATTTTATTATTAAGTATTTCCACATTAAACCTGGATTTTTGACTTACCATTTCTACTTTTTCTATACTTTAACTTATTAATATCTGTTATTATCTTAATTATTTCCTTCCCACACTTTCTGACGGTCTGTTTCATCATGCTTTTTCTAACTTCTTGCACTGAATGTTTACTTTGTGGCATTCTTCCAGGCTTATTAGGGCATTTAAAGACATCCATTTTGGGGACTACAGTTGAATCCGTACCTTGTGCAAGCTGCCATGTTTTCATTATGTTTCTAACATCCTGAAGTGTTAGAAACATCTTCATAAAAAGAAAGTGATGAATGAAATGTAGGCGGTGAATCATCCCAGAGACTCTCCTCAAACACCCAGTGTAGGGATATGCTTTTCCCATTCTGCAGACTTCTTATTCCGAGGCTCCTCATGCCTCTCATCCCTCCCACCCAGGACCTTGCAGTGGGACTCAGGACAGCTTTTCCTGGTAGACTGAATAAATGTGGGCTCAGCATTTCTCATGCACTTTGGCCATGCTCAGAGTCCTCAGCCCCAGGTACGCATCTGTTAGAAAGGACAGAGAGGCCAAGGGAGAGACAGAATCCGAAGGAGCAAATGTTTGGAAGCAGAGGGTGAATACACGTGGGGCTCAAGGGAAGGTAGAGGTTGGTCCAGTCCCACTGCAGTCTTCATGCTGCCTTCTGAGAGCTCTCACCGCCCCTCATGGCAGGGTCTCTGAATACAAATATGCAATGGGAGAAGTCCTAGATTTGACTGCCTGATGAAAGGAATCTTGCAGGGCCAGAGTCATTCAGTGAGGCAACTGTTGGCTGACAATCAACGGGTTGGTTGTGAGTGTCCTTAATTAGCCCTTTTGAGCTCTTCGAGGAGTCTGAAATTATAAATTTTATTTTCTTCAGGGTAAGAAGAGATTGATTGCTTCTTGAACTTGCTCTTAGAGACCTTCAGTCCCAACATGCTCAGTGAAGAAGGAAGTTCAGAGTGTGTTGGCCTGAAAGGGCATTTCAATCAGCAGCTTCTCCATCTGAACCGAAGCACAGGCTCTGGGAGGCCTGGACCTTTCACACACATGAACTGAGTTCAAATATACCCAAGTACATCTTTGGAGATTCTTAAAAGTAAAGGGGTCTTTTCTCCTCTTCATGCTCCTCAACTAGCTGTACTTTTCTCTTAATTCATTTTCTCATTTGAAAAAAAATTACTTTTAAGGCCAGAGACATAGTACGGCAGGTAGAGTGCTTCTTTTGCATGTGGATGACCAGAGTTCAATCCACAACTTCCCACATGCTCTCCTGAGCACTGCCAGGAGAGATGCCTGAGCATAGGACCAAGAATAACTCCTGAGAACCACTGGGTATGATCCAGAAAGAAAAAAAGACTCAATGATTTATCAGGTCTCTAAGAGATGACTGAATGAGTTTATCAGACTTTTATTTCACCATTTTTTCACTAAAAATTGCCATTTTCTAATAAATTTAGTGTCTATAATATTTTTAAAAAGCTTTTATAAATATTATTTAAAGTTGTATGGGCTGGAGCAATAGCACAGCGGTAGGGCGTTCGCCTTACAAGCGGCCAACATGGCCGACCCGAGTTCGATTCCTCCGCCCCTCTCGGAGAGCCCGGCAAGCTACCGAGAGTATCCGATATGCCAGACACAGTAACAACAAAGTCTCCAATGGAGACGTTACTGGGCCCGCTCGAGCAAATCGACGATCAACGGGAGGGCCTTTACCTTTTTTACCTTTACCATTGAGAGGGGCATTTGTCACTACTATTATAATGTTGCATAGTAATCATAGTTTGAGTTCTAGATATTTAGACTATAATCACTTTAATTAAACTATTAGGAAAAAATTGCAATCAATACAAAATTAAAATAAAACTGGCTTAATAATGCCAATGTCCTTCATACAGTGATCATCTCTGCATTTTAATAAAGAAAATAAATAAAATATTATTTAATTTTCCTTTATTATATTGAAGGGGATCTTATGTTATTTCCTAAGAGACTCTCAAGAAAGGTATAAAGCATTATGTAATGCATTATTTGATAATAACAACTTTTGGGTAAACATTTAAAAAGTGATCCTGAGACATCAAACTCAAATTAACAATTAGAATTAGTAAATTTTAAAAGAAAGTGAGGTCAAAAGTTTTAACCTGTAACAACATTTTAATAATCTCTTTTACAAGGACTTAATGGCTCTGCAGTGAGATTCAACAACTTTATTAAATTTCTTCTAAGAAAACATTTTTTGATCATCCTTTTGGCAAATTATTGATAACAAGCTATATAAAATAAATTACTGAGGGCATGCTATGAGGGCAGGCTTAAGGGGTGGTTGGGAAAATTAGAGACAATGGTGGAGAGAAGGTGTAATGGTGGTGAAATTGTTGTTGGAATATTGAATGCCAATAACAAATCATTATGAACAACTTTGTAAATCACAGTATTTATATAAAGTGTAAGGGAAAATAAAAAAACATTTTTAAAGTAGAAAAATTAAATAACAAAAGAAAGCGAGGGTCTTTAAAGCAATTCTGTGTCCATTACAACCTAGTTTCTATTCTTACACGTCTGGCTGTACTCAGGAATTACTCCTGTCTCTGTGCTCAGGGATCACTCCTGGTGATGCTCAGAGGACCATGTCAGTGATTGAACCTGAGTGTGCAGCATGCCAGGCAATTGCCCTACTCACTGTACTACTACTCGAAGAACCTCCACAACTTAGTTTCTTAAGCTTGATTACAGCCCCACACAGTAAGTGAATGTGAGGACTGCTCCCCCACTCCAAAAAAAACAAAAACAAAGACAAAACAAACAAACAAAAAACACTTTGTAATTTGTTTTACAAATAAATTATAAACAAAGACAAATGTCTTTGTTTTATTATCACTAATTTTTTGATTTGCATAATCTCTCTCTCTCTCTCTCTCTCTCTCTCTCTCTCTCTCTCTCTCTCTCTTCCTCTCTTTCTTTCTGATCACAGCCATTATATTCCTGGCTCTGTGCTTAGGAGACCACATGATGCTGGTAAATCAAACCTGCATCTCCTGCATGTGAAGCATGTGGTGAGATCATTGAGCTGTCTCTCCAACCCTTGTATACCTATTTTTTAAATGTAGAAGTACTGATATTTATTCAGCCACTGATTAAGCTGATTAGGCTGGATGTATACCTATTTTATATACCTGTATGCCTTGGGTTGTGTAAGAATTTCTCAGGCTAAAATCTGTTGTGCTAAAAGTTTATGTGAGTGAATAAAATTTAAGATCTGAGTCTCAAGACACACTTAAGACAAAGGAATTCTTAGTGGGGCGGACTGCGGGACAGGCAATGATGTAGATCACACCTGTGGTGTTCAGGGATCAAACTGCTGTTAGCTGAGAGCAAAACAAGCACCTTTTAGCACGGTACTATCTCTCCAGCCCAGAAAAAAAATTTATTCTAACAAAAATGTTGTCTTTTTTTTTTCAGTGTACTTGCTTGTCTTTCATGATACTCAGTGAGAAAGATGTACAGGAAGATTAGCAGACAGAATTTAGGGTAGAATAGGGCCATAAAGCGGATGACCAGAAAAAAGAGGAATAGAAAAAACAATCGTCTTTCCCCGATTAAGGAGAAACAGGCTCAGCAAGGCTAAGAAAAACAGAAGGGGGAAATATACGAACTTTACTCTGCCCTGGGAGTACATCTAGGATACAGGAATATCAAAATAGGTGAGACTTACACAAAAAAGTTTGTGAGCCTGAGAAGTAGGTCTCTGATGACCTCGGTGTCTCTGCACCCAGGAAAGGGCAAGTCTTGGTCTTTATGTGATGTAGTTACAGTAAGTGGGATTGGGCATGGACACTGGTTAACCGCCAACACAACCACGAAAGGCGTGTCTGGGTGGCAGCCATAGCTGGCCAGGCACAAAACTAATTTTGTCCATATCAATTTTTATTTTGATTGATTGTTTTTTTCTTTTTACAGTGCCAGGTATGGAACCCAGCACCTTACATACACAAGGTATGTACTCTACCACTAAGCCACACCCATGACCCGCCCATAGTCATTTTAAAAGTTAACTATATTTAGTAGCTTATGATTTGGTTGGAATGTTTGATAAGTAGCTTTCATTCTAAAGCTACTTAAAATTTCGTATTTGTCTAGCTTCAACAAAGTATTTTCAGAAATGACTAAAAATTATAGCCAGTATTTTGTTAAATAGTAAAATAAGAATTCTGTGGAAGACAATGGAATATTACTTGGCCATAAGAAAAGATAAAGTCATGCTTTTTGTTGCTACTTGCAGGGACCTAGAGGTATGCTGAGTAAAGTTAGTCAGAGGGAGAGATACTGACACAGAAGGATCTCATATGTCTCTCTCATATGCAGAGTATAAGGAAACATAATGGGGGAATATTGGGGGAATAATAAATGCACAAAGACAGTGGAAACAAAGAACCAGTAGTCTGTAAGAAATATACTGCCCGAGAGGGCTGGGAGATAGGACTGGGAGAGAGCAGGGACTATAGTGGAGGGAAGATCAAATGAGAAGAGGAGGTAGTGCTGAAAGCTGGAAAAGTGTTTTGTATGACACCCTACTGGCAACAGTACAGTAAACCATAACGCAAAAACATGTATTTTTACAAAGTGCCCCTGTAGAGGCAGACTGGTGGGTGAGAGGCAGGAGAGGGATGGGGAAAAATTGGCGGAGGGAAGTGGGCACTGGTGAGGGGATTGGTGTTCAAACAATGTATGCCTGAAACCCAATCATAAATAGCTTTGTAGTTTCACAATGACCAATAAAAAAATAAATAAATAAAAAGAATTCTGTGGAAGAAAATTAGTTTTTAAAAAACCCTACTGTAATGATGTGAATTCAAAAACTTAAAAATAATCTGAACCACATAATATAACTAGCATCAAACATGTTAACTATTCTAGTTAAAAATAAAAATAAAATTATACTGAAGTAGAGAGATGGTATAGAGGTTAAGAAGATTGCCTTATGTACAACTTACTCTGGTTTAATTCCTACCATTTCACTTGGTCTCTTGGGTACCAATGGGAGTGACCCCTGAGCTCAGAGTCAGTAAAAGCCTCTGAGCATCACTAGGTATGGCCTAATGCCCCACTCCCTAGAAAACCCCCTACAAATTGCTGAATAATCTCTTTTAACCAATAGAATTTTGTAAAGGAAACACACAGAGAGAGAGAGAGAGAGAGAGAGAGAGAGAAAGAGAGAGAGAGAAAGCAGGATAGCAACCATAGGCAAGGGCCTCCAGGAATTCATATACAGGCAGTGGGTAAAGGGGAACCAGAGAAAAGTCAGCTGATTCATGTTGTTCATCAATTTGCTCGAGCGGGCCCAGTAATGTCTCCATTGGAGACTTTGTTGTTACTATGTTTGGCATATTGAATACACCATGGGTAGCTTGCCAGGCTCTGCCGTGCGGGCGAGATACTCTCGGTAGCTTGCCAGGCTCTCCGAGAGGGGCGGAATCGAACTCGGGTCGGCCATGTTGGCTGCATGCAAGGCAAACGCCCTACCGCTGTGCTATCGCTCTAGCCCGATCCATGTTGACTGTCTTCAAAGTCTAAAGGTATCTCTACAACGAAATTGGAGTAAGATGATTCACACCCATTGGGCAGAGGCCGAATGAATCTGCATTCTTTAGTCTGCCCTCTGGCCTGAATACATCTGACTCAATACAACACAATATAAATTTTTACATTAACCTTGAAAATTAAGATAGACTTTTGTCCCAAGTGAAGGCATATGTAACAGTATTTAAAAAACAGCTTTTATGCTGTGAGTTAATAAACTATGAATCTGGGGGGAAAACATATTGAAAATCTTCTCACAATGCCAGATCTTGAGTTACTGCCTTACCATTAAAAATATTCTCAATAAGAAACAGAATTATACCAGAGCAGTTTTATTCAGGCTTTCACATTCTCTACAAATTTTAATCTTGAGTAAAAAGTAAGAAAGGATTATTGAACTTACTTAATCATATGTGGAACAGAGACTTTGGAATTCTCTTCAAATACTATAGTCATTAAGCCATTACACCGTATATTGTCCACACACTGTAAAATGAAAAAATACACAAGTCCAATGCACGTTTTTTATAATTACAAAAACAATTTACTTTCTCACCTATGCACATACCACTCATGCACATGGGGCATACCAGGGTCGAGCATGACAGGTAAAAGTTACATATTTATGGAGGGAGCCAATGATCAAATACCCAAATTGTACCAACTTCATTGCTGGCAAATATCCAAAAATAAAGATGAGAGTTGCGTTTTCTTGGAATGTGCTTCCCAAGAAATTGGGCCACATTTTCACAGAGTCACAGCTCTCTGGCAATGAAACACAATAGAGCAATGGTGGTTGTTCTCCCATATTATTCATTGTCACCAAAGTCTGCTATGGGGCAGTAAGAGTAGAAATGGCGTGGGTGTGAGGGGTAACTAGCACAGGACTTAGCATGTTTGCCTTGTACATGGTCACCCAGTTTGATCTCCAACACTGTTTATAGTCACCCAATATAAAATGATCCCTTAGCATAGAACCATGATTAAACCTTGAACACCACCAGGTATAACCCAAAAGCCAAAATCCGTTTAAAAAATGAGAAAGAAAAAAAAAGACAGAAAATATAAATATCACTAGTTCTATCTCTGCTCCCAGGTGGTTTGCTTGAGAACAGATATTTTTGCCAATAAATTTTCATATTTCACTAGCAATTCCCTTTGATACCGTGTTGGCTTGGTGAGGAAGCAAAGTTTAGTTTCTCCTGTTTCTAGTAGGTATGAACCTTCATTATTATCCTTTTCTCTTATTTTTTAAGGGAGACATTCAACAAAACTTTGCTAATTTTTTTTTGTCTTCTTTATGTATTTATACCTTATCAATATAAAATTTCCTTTTGCAATTACTCTGGGTAAAAGGATGACTTGTTTTGTTTTTTTTCAAGTCTTTATTGTTATTTTTGAGCCACACACGGTGGTGCTCAGGGCTCAGGGTTAATTAAGGAATCACTACTGGTGGGACTCTGGGGACCATATGGAGTACCGTGGACCAAATCTGGGTCGACTACATGCAAGGCATACAGGGGGCGCTGTTTCCTAGGCCCCATTCTGCACTTTTGTTAAGGAGATCAGGAAACACTCACTTTACACCATTTTTTGCTATCTCAGGCTTTGCCTCCTCAGTGCTTGTTTGTTTTGTTTTGTTTTCTTTTGTTTTATTCTGTTTTGTTTTGTTTTGTTTTAATGAGAATCCAGAGTTTTCGGCCAGGAAACCATGTTTTTGTGGCTTGTTGATCTCTTACAAGATTTAATAGTGAGTATGTAAATCTGGGTCAATGGATGAGCTTACTTGGTGGCAGTTGTGGGATATGAGTGACCAAATAGATATATTTTAATTTTGAGCACATTGTTATAACTACTGAACTGATGCTAATGGAGTGATTTTGTGTGTGCTTTCACCAAGAATTCCTGGGAACTCAATAGTCCAAAATTGTATTTATATTTTCCACACCAGGTGAAAATCTGAATTTTAAATCCATAGACCAGACGAATACTGTCTCCTACCCTATTCCTCTAAGAGGACTTTTTGAAAATCCCAGTCCAGACAAACTTCTTTGTATTTTAGCTGCTGAGTAGAGTTTTGGGAGGATTTCATTCAGAGACAGAACAGCCTTCTAATATCGAGGTTTAAACGTGGAGCTCAATTCCTTGCCATCTTGCTTTCTTTGACAATACCTCTTGGTCTTGGGACTGATATGGAACCTAAAATTGTTCTAAGATACCCAAGATAACTCAAAGAGCTGGAGTGTATGCCCGGTGTATGATGTGCAGGGGCCCCAGGCTTAGTTCCTGGCACTTGATGATCCTTTAAACACTACCAGAGCTGACCCTGGTAACTTTGACTAAGTATCATCAGGAGTGGCCCCAGAGTCACTGATCACTGTGTGGGGTACTGCCACCCAATACAAAAATAATAATAATAACTAAGTAAAATTATCTCCAAACTTCTATATTTCCAGTTAACAAGCTCTCTGTTCCAACTTTAACTTCCCTTATTATTTCCAGCAACTAGATATTTTCCTTTCTATCTGTAAGTATTCCCAATATATTAATTTGTTTTATCATACTGATTCTTAGTCCTTCATCCTGTCAGAATTGGGACTTGAGATAAATGTCTTAGATCCAAAAGAGATTTATATGACCACTTTCAAATATTCCATTAGCCAGTGTCAGATTTCACTTGTAAATCTTTCTGATTTATTGTGAGAAGCACTACAATTATTTTCAGTAGAAATAAGATCACAACCACGACCATCCTCTTGTTCGTCGATTGCCTCGAGCAGGCCCCAGTAACGTCTCTTTCATCCTAGCCCTGAGATTTTTTTAAAAAGTGCCATATTCAAGGCTCTTTCAGGGTAGGAGAATGAGACCCATCATTGTTACTGGTATTTGGCATATTGGGTACACCACAGGGAGTTTGCCAGACTCTGCTGTGTGGGCAGGTTACATTCGGTAGCCTGTCAGTTTGTCCAACGTAAGAATGAGATAATTAGATGCTTCTGGGAGCTGGGTTTTATAGTCTCTGGGTATTGGTCCTTGATTGGATTACACGGTGCCAGGGGGCCAGTTGATGGGTGTGATCCCTGCCTACTGGAATATGGAGGATCTGGGTGGTGGATGCTCAGCCCTGATCTGAGCAGGCTTGGAGATCTCAGTCCCGGGACACGCATGCCTTTGTTCCTCTGCTGGTACCTTCATGCGTGTGGAGAGTGGTCTCAGCATGGTGGTGGCTGGTTCTGGAGGTCTTCGGCTGCAGAATCTCCTGCCCCCGTGCCTGGCTGTCCTTGCCGGGGCCCCTTGGAGGGGAGCAGATTGAGTTTCCCTCCCCGCCCCGACCAGGGCTCCGGCAGCCGAAGACCTCCACAGCCAGCCTCCACCATGCTGAGACCACTCTCCACACGCATGAAGGTACCGGCAGAGGAACAAAGGCATGCGGGTCCCGGGACTGAGATCTCCAAGCCTGCTCAGATCAGGGCTGAGCATCCGCCACCCAGATCCTCCATGTTCCAGTAGGCAGGGGTCACACCCACCAACTGGCCACCTGGCGCCGTGTAATCCCATCAACGGCCAAGACCCAGAGACTATAAAACCCAGCTCCCAGAAGAGAACAGCACAGGGTCTCCTGCCCCCACACCTGGCTGCCCTCACCTGGGCCCCTTGGAGGGGAGCGTGTTGAGTTTCCCTCCCTGCCCCGACCAGGGCTCTGGCAGCCAGTAGAAATATAAAGAAATATAAAGAAGCTATATTCAAACTTTAAGAAAAGAAAACATACATGCAACTAAACTATGCTGAAAATATAATAAAAAGTTGTATTATAATTGAACAGGAGGTCTTTGGTACTTGAGACAACCCCAGGAGTGTCTAAGCACAGAGCCAGAAGTAAACTCTGAGCACCTCTGCATGTGGTCCAAACTCCCAAAAAGCAATACATAGCAATAAGCAGTGACATAATTACATTAAAGGTACGCTAAATTTAGGTGAACTACAGTACATCTAAAAACTAATAGGAAAATGAAAACAGACTCCTAGGCTCTAGATTGGTCACTGATGACTATCAGTAGGGTCCAGGAGTATGTTTGTTCATAGCTGCCCCAGGTAATTCTGTTCCTGCTGATTCTGAGATACTTGATAGGTTGTTTTGAGGCTCTTACTTCAGAAAGTGCCTATTCAAAGGCCGGTGATCTTTCATGCCCCAATATTTTCATGTAAGTCAGGGGCATCTAAGCAGAGCTCAGAGGACCCTCAAACCACTTCCAGTGGAGCTTGGGGGCACAGACAGTGGTAGGAACTGAATTTGAGTGGCTTACTGATGCAAAGGCATGTTCCCATGATACCTGAGCTATCTCCTGGACCTTGTGTCCCTATATACTTTGCCATCTAAATACTTCTAAGTAATGGGAATAAAGATAAAGGTTAGATTCCATTTCCCTTTTTCAATTCACCTTTTTATGTTAAAGGAGAAATGTCCCCATTCATTACAGAGAATCTATTTTAGGGGGAAAAGCTTGTCAGTGTGCTACAAATTTGTCTATGCAAGGTCTATATTTTGACACATCTGCCCAAACCAAGAAGCTCAGAGGTGAATTTTAATCCTACATTTTAACTAATACCCATAATTACAGAAAAATCTGTTTAATACACCCTTATGTATGACAAAGATAAGCACAAATGAATGCACTACATTGAAATAAATGGTCAAATCTTCAGCCTCAAATTTTTCCCTATAAATAGATAAAAAAAAGGAAGAATTATTGGTCAAGACCATTAGCCACTTGCCTGTTTTGTTGGAGGCGCCAGCAGTTAATTATGGCTTTGCTGGTGTAACTGAAGGTGTAATTAACCATTGAAGCAATTGTTACTTCTAAAAATTACAGCTTCAGTGAGAGACCTGGCAAAGTCAAGAGTCTTAATTTTTGTATGGAGTGCTTTCTGTGAAACTAGAATTGTATCAATACTCAGGAACCAATATATTAACTTAAATAAGAGCCACATGTGATCAGTACAGCACAACCCAGTAGCAAAGTGGCTTCTAATCACTGAAAAACTAAGACTGAACCAGAGTACCCAACATCAAAGACAAAATAATGGGGCATGTGTTCAATTTTGACTGAAGAAAATGTATACACTCATGTGTTATCAATTGACATAAAATGAAAAATGTTAATCCAGAGAAAATTATGTAAATACATGATAAACCCTCTAGGAAGCAATACTACTCTTCCATTAAAACAGCACATGCAATCAATGAGGCAAAACTCAACATGACCTAGAAGAAAGTGACACCTTGCTGATGATGAAGTGAAATAAAAAGTTACATATTCCTTGAAGCAGTTTGGCAGACTGGTGAAGTATGAATCACGAAAGATTAAGTCCTTGGTACCATCATGCCCCAGTGCAGTGAAGATATACCAATAAGAAGCCATGAAAGGAGGTAAAAAAAAACTTTCTGTAAAAAGATATTGAGCACCAGGTCATCTGCTCATGCCAGA